GCTGAGGCAGGAGGATTGGGAGTTTGACACCAGCCTAGGCTACAAAGTGAGCTCAAGGCCAGCCTGAACTGCATAGTGAGACCCTGACTCAAAAAAAAAAAAAAAAAAAAAAAAAAAAGAAAGGATATACTGGCATATAGTCTTAGAATTGTTACTCCAAAATTAATAAACAAAACAAAGACCAACTCAAACATATTATAACTTGGACGAGTTTCAAAATAATTATGCTGAGTGAAAAAGACAGACACTAAAGAGTACATATATAAGAGTACATATATGAGGTAAGGGGATTATAAGTTTGAGCCCAGCCTGGGCAATTACTAACTCAACAAGACCCTGTCTTAAAATAAAAAAAAAAAAAATTTAAGTGTTGGGGATGTAGCTCCATGAAAAGGTCTTTGATTCAATACCCAGTACAGCAAAAACTTTTTTAAAAAGCGAAAAAAAAAAAAAAAAAAGTACATATAACCAAACTACATTAATATAAAATACCAAAACAGGTGAAAAGTGTTAAAAGTAGAAATTTAAAGCTGGGTGTGGTGGCATACACCCATAATCCTAGTATTATAGGTAGCTGAATTAGGTAGAAATAGTACAGACAGACAAGACTGGGCTTTAGATAGGTCAATGCAGAAGACAACTGTGGCTGGAGGCATATTCTAGAGAACATGAACTTGGTGTTTCAGACACCCAGCAGATTGAGAATTCTATTTCCCCTATATCACCAGCACTCAGGAGAATGGGGCAGGAGAATCTGAAGTTCAGGGCCAGTCTGCTACGTAAGACCCTGTCTTAGCCGGGCATGGGGGCACACTCCCAGCACTCGAGAGGCTGAGGCAAGAGGATCTCTGTAAATTTAAGGCCAGCCTGGGCTACCTAGTGAGACCCTATCTCAAAAAAACCAAACAAACAAATAAACAAAACAAAACTAAAACAAAAAAGACCCTGTCTTTCTAAATAAAAAATCAATTTATTCATTTAAACATTTTAACCCCTCAATATATGTATAGCCCTTATGTAAAATATTTTCAAAATCTGAAAAACTCAATCAGTTCCATGATTATTCCAAAAATGTTTCTTTAGCATCTGTTACCATGCTTTAGTCACATGTCTGAGGCCCAGAAACTGAGGCTATAGCAGCTGCTGTCAAGCTTACTTTCTAGGGAAGACAAGCAAACAAACATGTAAACAACTATTAGTAAAAACCCACAAAATACCAATTGCTGTGTGGAGAGTTAACAATGTTATAGACGAACAGGGCACTTCTGATGGGGTGGTGATCAGGATGTATGATTTAAACAGATACCTGAGCTGGGTGTGGTGGCAAATACCTGTAATCCCAGCACTCCAGCAGTGAGGCAGGAGGACTGATGGAGTTTGAGCCCTGCCTGGACAACACAGTGAGTTCAAAGCTACCCTGAACTATTAGTGAGACCCTGTCTCAAAACCAAGGAAACAGATACCCATGTAATTACAACATAGCAATTCAAAGAGGTGAGATGTCGGGGGTGGTGGTGCAGTCTGTAATTCTAGCACACTGGAAGCAAAGCAGGAGGATCACCATGAGTTTGAGGCCAGCCTAAACTACACACCAAGACCCTATCTGAAAAATAAACAAAAACGCCAAGAGATGGGGAAGGCTCTATGGCAAGAGAGTAACACATTTTCAAGAGATACAAATCTTTGCTCTTCAGAGAAATTATTTTTCTGCCACCCAAACTGCACATTGTAATGCAAACTGGACACAAACTTACGAATCTGACAGCTCCAGAGGCTAACCATCCACTTGGTATTTTTGCCCTTCAGGTTCAAAGGATTTCCTACAGCAAAGGAGACTGACGAAACACACAACCAATCAGGAGAAACAAACATCAGAAACAGTCTCCATTTAATCTCAACTTGCTCTACATTTCTGAAAAAAAACTATCTATATCAAAGATATCCTGAAGCTCTGAAGTGTCAAGTGCAAAAAACTCTACAGTGGGTTGCAAATATAAAAGGTCTGCTGCAAACCCAATATTTTATAGGAAATTTAAACCTGACATCTCTTCCCCCAAAATCTGAGGCACCTTTGAAATAAAATGCAATAAAGTACATGAATACACGGAGACCTGTGTACACATTTATATCTAATACACACATCCTTTATTTTACCTTTCAAATCAGGGTAAAAGGATAGCCAGGAGGATGAAGTCATGCAGATTTAAAAAACAGAAATGCAGGTAAGTAGAAATTAAGTGCCCAGAAATGCACAATTACTAACTGTGGCTCAACCTGAAATCAATCTTTTTATACTACCTCGTTTGAATTTAGCTACACAATTTACTGAAAAGGCCAAGTCACTCAATGCAGGCCTGGAGCTATTAACAAAAATTAAATTTAAAAATAGCCTCAACTCCAAAGACTCCATATATTCTCTCTTAAGCCTCTGTCCTCATTAAGGATTTGAAGACAAGAGATACACAAATATTAATCAATTGAACAGCAATAATAGTATCATGACACCACTGCATCATAAAAGACTAAACAAATTAATCTGAGTCTACTAAGACTGTCACATTTGCCAGTAGCATAGAAAAAAGATGGATAAGCAAGCAGCCACTCATGCATGGGCTCACTCTCTTTGCCATACACAGGTAAGGATCATGTTTGGCCAGCTCTAGAAATTGCATTTACACTTCGCCTTCTTCCTGAAATCTCAAAGGACTTTTCTATTAAGTTATGTTGTCTCAGAACAAACAATTTCAAGAGCTATACAAACTGATATTTCTTTAAAAAATGGTCTACACCCTTGGTGTGGGGGGTAGGGAGCTGCTCCCTAATTTGAACCCAAATGCCAACTTGTCTTTGTATGTTTCTTTGTGGAAGACAATGATAAACAGCACAGTCAAGGGTCCAGTTCCTAGGCCGGGCATGGTGGTGCACGCCTGTAATCCCAGCACTTGGGAGGCTGAGGCTGGAGGATCATTGCGAGTTTGAGACCAGCCTGGGCTACAAAGTGAGCTCAAGGCCAGCCTGAACTACACAGCCAGACCCTGTCTCAAAAAGACAAAAAAAAAAAAAGAGTCTGGTTCCTGACAATGAAGAATTCAAATCCAGCTCAGTCACTTAAAGGTGTGACAGGCAGGTTTTGAACGTGAACAAGGCCTGACTCCATCTATAAACTGGGAAGGAAAGCAGCACATTCACACTGTATTGTATGATTTAAATGAGATCCACACTAGGCTCTCAAATGTTTTAAATTAAAAAATGTGTTCATGCAATCACCAGTTCCCAAGCAGGCATCTGTCCAGAGACAGTCCTGGTGTACTACTGGCATCTACTGGGTAAAGAAAGGCCAAGGATGGCACCGAACACGCCAGGATGCACAGGACAGCTCCCTAAAACAAGGAATTATCTTGCCCAACATAGCAACAGTGTGAGAAACTCTGACAATAGAATACCTGGCACATGGCAAATGCCTAATGACAGTTACTATAACTTGATCTCCTTCCACTAAAATCCCCAATCTTCTGACACCTCTTTGATATGAAGGTCAATGTACTACGTAGAAATATTCCTGTTGGATGACATGCCAAGATGTTGTATCAATGACAATGAGATTTTGGGGGGTGGGTACTGGGAATTCAACTCAAGACGTCATATTTGCCAGTCAGGAGCTGCACCACTGAACTAAAACCCTAGCCCCGACAACCAGATTTTATAAACTGCAGTCTTAGAAGGTACACCTTGGGCCTGGAAAACCAATACACCTGAAATTTAAATTTTGTATCTGGCAGGGTGGGGTGGGCTTGTAATCTCAGCAAGAAGATGACTGTGAGTGGTGAAGCCAGCCTGAGCTACACAGCAAGACCCTGTCTCAAAAAAACCAAAATATAACCGTATATACAGATATACATTAATGAAAACAAATTTTGTATTTGTGTACTTTTTCTAGAAAGTGGCCACTAGCTTTCATTCTTCCAGTTCATTATGCTCACTACTCAGGGCTTTGTTCCAGTTCCAGGGAAAAAAAACAAACTCACCCAACCTCCAGACCTTTGCACTTACTGTTCCCTCTACCTGGGACACTCCTCCTCCCAGAACTTCCCAGCGCTGGCCCCTTGCTCTCCTGGTGTGAGCTTCAAATCTCACTTCCTTAGGAAGGCCTTTCTGTCCCACCCTCACCCTTTCATTCGCATAGTCTCACTGAAGCCCTTTAAGAAGTTTACTTGTTTACTGCCTGTCCCACCCCGGGAGTATCCACTCAGGAGAACAGAGACTTTGTCTTTACCGACTGATTTAACGAGTGGTGGGCACACAGTGAGTGCTGATAATCATTAGATCAATGAATGCCTCGTCTCCCAAAGGAGCCTGGAACTCTCAAAACGGTAGTGGATCCTACGCTGAAGTAGAAGGGAAATGAAATAAATGAAAACCCTAGGTCCTACAGCCTGGCCAGGAGTGACAGGCATGATCCGAGCAGCTCCAAAGCAGGGCCCACCGCCCTCCGTCCTGAAGAGCGAAGCGGAGCCGCGGGGCACCAGAAACCTCGCCATATGGTGCAGGCTAACCGGGAACAGGGGGAGTTGGGGCCCGTGGCCGCCAACCCGGGTGCTCCAGGTAAGGTCCGACCCGACCCCGAGCCCGAGCGCGAAGGCCGGGGGCCGCCGCCCGGCGGAGAGCGCAGGGCCCGCGCG